TCCCTGAGCCCCCTTTCCATGGGGAAATTCCTGCTCTGTCCACCCTGAGCTCCCCTGAGCCCTGTCCCTGTTCCCTGGGATAAGATCCCAAATCCCCCCGGCTGTCCCCTCCTGTCAGGGAATTCCCACACGGATCCGAGTCTCTCCTCCTGGATCCACACCATGGCAGCAGCCCTGGGGATCCCAATCCCCCTGGGCACTCCCAATCCCTGCCCACCCTTTCCATGGGGAAATTCCTGCTCTGTCCCCACACACACAGAGGTTCCAGTTCCTGAATTCCTCCTGGGATTCACCCAATTCCGTGTTCCCACCTCACTTCACAATTCCCACAGGGATTTCCATTCACACCGAGCTCCACCTCCAGGAATTCCTGGGACATTCCAGGGATGGGGATCCCAACCCCCCTGGGCACTTCCAATCCCTGAGCCCCCTTTCCATGGGGAAATTCCTGCTCTGCCCACCCTGAGGCTGGAAAAGCCCTCTCAGGATCATCAGGTCCAAGCTGGGCCCCATCCCCACCTTATCCCCAGCCCAGCCACGTCCAGGAATTCCTTGGACACTCCCACCCTTCCTGGCCGAAGCATGGAATTCTTCCGATAAAATGGACACAGGGAATGTGCTGGGTTTTCCCTTAAATCGAGCAGAATTTCCCGGGAATTGTGTAAAGCCCAGCTCGGCCATGAGATGGAGCTCCTAAAACAGGAATGCTCCATGGTTTTATGGCATCTCCAAGGATTGGCTGCTTGTTCTGCTGGAAAACATCCCATTGCATTCCCCGTCCCTGGATTTATTGAGGAAATCTTGTTATTGCCGATTTTCCTTGGAATATTCATATTTCAGCTGCCCATTTCCCCTTTCATTATTGCCATTAATTAGTGTATTCTTAACCTCCAAACATTCCTAATATCCAGGATTTTTATTCCCAAGAAAACAACCAGTTGTGATATTCCAATTTTTTTCCCCCAGAGAAACAATTGCAGGATATTTCCTGAATCCTTTGCACTCATTACTTTCATTTTCCAGTGGAATTACACTGATTTTTCCTTTCCTTGCATATTTAGGAATTGCATGGAGGGATTTTGGGTGGTTTTTAGGAATTTTTAGGAATCCTGGCTTGGCAATGGGCAACAGGGCCACAGCTGGAGATGAAATAATCCTAAAAAGGGAGTTCTCTGAACGATTTTCATGGAATTTTCTATGATTTCCTGCTATTATTATTTTTAAAAATAATTTTCTAATTTAATTTGTGGTATTTAAATATTGAATAAATTCCAGGCTCCCACGCCTGGTGATTCCTATTTGTGAGATCCAGAGAAACCTCTGGATGTGGAGGGAGGTGAAATCTTGGGAAGTAACATGCATGAAGGAACCCAGGGAAAAAATAAAGTTGGAAATGTGTCACAGCTGACAGGAAGGAGTTTAATTCCTTGTGGAGGGATGGTGATGTCAGGGTTTATTCCTGAAAAATTAATTCCTCGGGGTTTGTTCCTGACAAATTCCTCAGGACTTATTCCTGACAGATCCCTCAGGGTTTATTCCAAGGCTGCCAAAGCTCCAGGAATGTTTGGACATCGCTCTCAGGGACAGGATGGGATTGTTGGGATATCCTGGCAGGGCCAGGGGTTGGATCTGTGATCCCTATGGATCCCTTCCTGCTCAGAATTCCATGATTTTTTTCTGGGATAATTGCCACTATTTGTCCCCACTCGTGGTTTCCATGCAAAGCTGTGGGATTTCCATCCAGGGAGAGCTGAGGGGATGCACAAAAAATGTTCCTGGGATCACTGACTCCGCTTTCCTTCTGTCTTCCCTTCCCTCAGTATTTTGGGAAATGGGAATACAGCTTTGAGGTAAGTCTGGTGCAATCCCTGGGCCAAATCCCAATCCCTGGAATAGCTCCTGTAGCAGTGCCCTCACTCAGAGCTTCTCCAGAGCTGCTGCTCCAACATTGCAGAGCTTCCCTCTCCCTGAGCCAGCCTGGGAGAGCTGGGAATGTTCCCCTGGAGAAGAGAAGGATCCAGGGAGAGCTGGGAATGTTCCCCTGGAGAAGGGAAGGATCCAGGGAGAGCTGGGAATGTTCCCCTGGAGAAGGGAAGGATCCAGGG